AGACAGACAAAAGAAAAAAGTGGAAGCAGTTGAAATGGATGCTATTAGAAGATCCATGCGAATCTCACGAAGAGACAGAACAAGGAACGACAATATAAAACAACAAATGGGTATAGAAGGTACGGTAGTCCAGGACATTGAAAAGAAACAACTTACCTGGTACGGACACGTAGAACGAATGCCAAATGACAGGTGGCTCAAAAAAATGCTGCACTGGCAACCAACAGGTAGAAGAAAACGAGGAAGACCACAACTGGAATGGCAGAAGACCATACAAAAGTCCATGAGTGAAAGAAATCTCTCATCAGAGGATTGCGACGATAGAAGAGGATGAAAATTAGGTGTCGGACAACGAAGAAAGACGTTCTAAAACGACATGTATATATATATAATATATAAAACTTTTTATAAATACAAATTTCACACTAAAATGTTAAATTATATCGAATGAGTTGAAATTAGAATAAGTTTACTCAAACATACAGTTTTCTTCTTCTTTTTCGTTGGCTTCATGTTTTATACATTTGTTGCCGCAACTGATACCAAAACATCGACCACACTTAGAAGAACAATTTATTTCAAGCTTTATACAAGGACAGCTTCTACCACAAGTTCCATCCTTACAATTACAAAAGACCATTTTTGATATATCTTGTGGGGCTATTTCTTTTGTACACCTTTTTGGAATAAGATTTTCATACTTATCCTTCTCTCAACCATACTCCAAACGATTAAACTTTTGACCAGTCCATTCTTAAATCTTAAACAAAAAAGGAGTTAATAATTTGCAAGATGCTTAGAAAATATACCTGACTTCCAAAGTATGTTGCTCAGCAGCATCTCTACTTGGGGGTAGCCGTTCCAAATTGAAAGTAATTGACAATCCCTGCCTTGCAGTAATCCTGTTATATGAAGTGAATCTCAAACCGTCAGGCTCTTGGGTATTTTAGACTGGTTGGTATAGTTTCGTGATAAACTTTAGACCAATATCAATAATTAACTTCTGTCTGTCAGGGTTTGGATCCAAAATACTTCAAGGTTGTTGCATAAATCATTATCTTCTTTTATCACTTGCATTCAATATTTCTCGTTTTGTTTATAACATGAAAGAAGTCGTATCACAACCCTACACAGCGTTTAAAAAATGTGGTTTCAAATGGCCTAGTTTTTTCTGAAGATTGTTGGGTATTGGTAACTTTGTCAGCTTTTGCAGCTTTTCCAGGACGAATTAAAAATATGGTATCCTATAGAGAATGATGAATTAGTAGAATAGGATATCAGTATCTTCTGCCACGGCGCCGGCGGTAACACTTTTTCCACTATTCGATAGTTGTAGGTACTGCAGCTATAAGAGATATCATATGTAAGAGATATCAGTAAAATAAGAGAGCACAAGAGGATTTTCTAAGAAACGGACGTAGAAAGGAAAACTAATTGAAGTTTTGAAACCATTCATTAAAGCAGAAGTCATGAAAGTGATAAAAGCTGAAAGGGTTGCAGATTATTAAATCGTTACAACTTTAGTACAACTATCGAATAGTGGAAAAAGTGTTACCGTCGTGTCGTGGCAGAATATGCTAATATCGGTATTCTTCTAATTCATCATTCTGTACAGGATAACATATTTTTTTACTTCATCCTGAAAAAGCTGCAAAAGCTGACCAATATAAAGAATCTTCAGAAAAAATTAGGTCATTTGAAACAATCCATTCTTTTTTTACACGCTGTGTCGGGTTGTGATACGACTTCTTTTATGTTTAAAAAAAGCAAGAAATATTGCATGCATCTGACAAACAAAAAAAGATAATGACTTATGCAACAACCTTGTAGTATTTTTTGATCCAAACCCTGACAGACGGAAGTTAATTGATATTGGTCTAAAGTTCATTACCAAACTATACCAACCAGTCTAAAATACCCAAGAGCTTGACGGTCAAAAGCTTAATCCTTTGGACTTTGGACTATGGTTGGGAAAAGGATAAGTATGGAATTCTTGTCCCAAAAAGGAGCACAAAAGAAATAGTCCCACAAGATATTTCAAAAATAGTCTTTTGTAAGGATGGAACTTGTGGTAAAAACTGTTCTTGTAAAGCTTGGATTTAAATGTTCTTCTAAAGTGTGGCCAATGTTTTAGTATCCGTTGCAGCAACAAATGTATAATACCTGAAGCCAACGAAAAAAAAGAAAATTGTATGTTTGAATGAACTGTTTCTAATTTTAACTCATTTGTTGATTGTTATTAATTGACATTTTTGTGTGAAATTTGTATTTATAAAAAAAATTATATAGGTATCTTGTTCTGGATGATAAAACTAGTTCTTATGATGATGTCGTTAACTCCGCTAAATATCAGGTCTGTTCTCACAGGAGTCTGTGACAGTTTGCAACCTGTCAGAAACAATCCCTCAGCTAAGTTACCGATTTATCTTGGAACGACGGCATTGAAAACATGTATGGGCGATGCTTACTGACAGTTTGAAAACTGTCTCTTGAGACTCTTGTGAGAACAGACCTATCAGGATAAGAAATCTTCTTAGATGTAGTTTTTCAAGCTCTTCAAGAAATGTTTCTTAAAATTTTTTCAAGAAATGCCTACTTTCCGAGTTATTCGCAAAAAACTAAAAAAAAAAACAAAACAAAATGGCAGCCATATTTTTCTAACTTGCCATGACCGAATCTCATGGGACTTCTAGGAGGTCATTTAGGGCATATTTCCCGGTAACTTTTCACTGGAAATAGCCTGTAAAAAGTTTTTTCCACCTTGGCTCTTTTTTCCGGCTACCTTTCTTACTCTATGAAGAAGATCTAAGCGTAGCGTTACTATCAGTGCTGTAGCTTTTTCTTGATCGTTCCATCCGTTGGTAATTATAGCAGTTCAAATTGTCGAATATGCATGGTCCAGGACGTAGAACCGTCAAAAGTTGGTGGTTTTATCTTCATACTAGAGAATGCCCCAACACTAACTGGATTGATGGACTGTATTTCTAATTTATTCTCCTTATCTTCAAGTGCTAGAACCTGGTCCTCAACTTCTTGTCTCAATTGCCTAATACCGGCTTTAACCTCAGCTTTTGATTCCTGAACGTCGTTTTTAACCTCTCGAACATCGTCTTTAACTTCGGCTCTTACTTCCGTAATCTTTTGCTCTATGTTAACGACAAATCCGTGTATGGTTTGAAATATTTTCTGTATTTGTCCAAAGTCTTCTTGCCGTTCTTTTTGTCGCCTGGCTTCTTCGTCTTGTTTTTGTTTTCGTTTAACTTCTTCTTCTTGTTTTTCTTTCTGTCGTTTAGCTTCTTCTTCTTGTTTTTCTTTTTGTCGTCTGACTTTTCCGTCTTGTTTTTCTTGTTGTCATTTAGCCTCTTCTTGTTGTCGTCTAGCTTCTTATTCTTGTTTTTCTTTTTGTAGTTTAGCTTCTTCTTCTTGTTTTTTTTTTGTCGCCTGGCTTCTTTGTCTTGTTTTTGTTGTTGTCGTTTAGCCTCTTCTTGTTGTCATCTAGTTTCATCTTCTTGTTCTTCTTTTTGTCGCCTAGCCTCTCCGTCTTCTTTTTCTTGTTGTCGTTTGGTCTCTTGAAGTTAAAACATTTTGCGCATAAGTTCTTCAACTTTTTGTTCTTCCAATTTTGCTTGTTGTCTTGTAATAGGCATATACAGAATGTTCTAAAATTTCCCTCAAACTTTCTTCAAATATCTTTCCTGGTCTTTGCTTGAAGTTCCGAACACGCCGGTGAATTCACAAATTGGAATTTTCTTGAAATGTCTTTCTTGAATGTCGATTGATATAGCAAACACGTCCGTGAAGTCGGAAATAGAATGTTCTAGAATTTTCCCGAAATTCCTCAAAATTCTTTTTCTGAATGACGATTGATGTATCGAATACGTCGGCGAAGTCGGAAATTCGATATCTCCCTTGGTTTTCAAATAGAATTTTCTAGAAAATTCACTATCACAGTCAAAATCAAGTGTACAGTCACTTCCAAGGTAATTTACATGATCGGCTAAGTCTCTTTTGGTGATTGTCATTGCTTACACTGACTTACTGTCCCAGTGTCCACTATAGTGCCCACACTAGTGTCCGCGCACTATTCTGCAATCGGATTTCACTTTGTAGTTCTCGAATTATATCTCACTTCTGATTATTGCCAATGCTTACGAACCGAAAACTATTAATTTTTGCAAATTATTGATACACTATAGTTGAATTCACGATAGAGTTTGAATTTTGACCGTTATTTCCACCAGTTGAAAGTAAATAAAATCCCCAGATCTGTCCCTTTTGCTGTCAACTATCAAATAATTGGTATATGACATTTCGAATTTTCAATTTTCAATTTTTGTATGAAATCGTTTCGGTTTTTTGATGGTTTTTTGCCGTTTTCTGCATTATTTTTTGATATTTTGTTATATTTGCAATCAGTTTTTTTGCTTTCTATTTAGTGTTCTGTGCGTTTGTGTTTCGGTGTTGCTTTTCAAACTTGGTATGTCACTTTTCTAAATACGACTCTGTCGTTTATCCTAGCTGGCAGAATCGAAGCGCTAACGCATGCTGGCAACCTAAAGAAAAAGTTACTAGAAAATGTCAACGCGAACTGTCAAATTCACTTTCTATCGTGATTTCAACTATACCATCTAGCTGCAGGTGTTATTCCATTACTTGCACGTTCGTTTTTCTGCTTTGAACGTCCAAAAAACCTACAACTTGAGTGGTCCAAAGCTGTCTTAACGAATTCGTTAGTTGTTGTTAATCTACTCAATATTTTGTAAAGATATCTGCTAGACCCTTTCATCGATTTCCATGCTTTCTCCCAACTGAAACTCAATTGTTGACAAAAAAGCACCTTCATTCTATAAAAGTTTTAATTTGGACACTTTTGTGTAGATCCCATCCCAAATCATGGTGGTGTAACTGTATTAGAAAACAAAATTAATTGTTTTGAAAAATAAAAACCGTAAAAATTTCTGTGAAAAACATTTATTTTGAAATACATTTTCTTAGTTTATTCAAGTACCTACATTAGTATTTTCATTCATTTTATTTTTTCTTTCCAAATATTTTTTATTGGAAATTATTTCGAACCAGAACACCAACATACTGAAACAAAGGCCGCAAATCAACAATAAAAATGCTCCATAAAGATGTTCCAAATTCAATGTGGTACTCGCAGCACCCTCATTTTTATATTGATACTTTTGTTTTGCGAATGGTAAAAACAAACCAAAATCGTTCATTAGAAATAAAAATGTATTAAAGTATTTCTTGAAAGGTGAATTTCTGGCTAACAGATAAGTGATTCTACCAGCACCTAATGCATCTTTTGTTAAATGGTAATATTTTGAATAATATTCCCCTTGTTTGGTTTTATTTAAAAGTAAATTTTCCCCCCACCAGTCAGTGACTACATAGCATGCTTGAGTTTCCTTTAAGGTCCAAATGAGAAATCCGATAACTTTAAAATTCAAATGAGTTATTTCCAATTTCTTAGCTACAAACTCTTGCCAATCATCCGGTACATATACTTTCAATCCGCTAGCAGCCAATTCGTCTACAGTGTTAACATCTTTGAAAAATTTAGGAGTGGTCAAAGCTGTAATAACAGCACCTTGAAAAGTATTTTGGAATATAATCGAGTAAACGTAGCTGCATAATAACAAGAGTTTAAGTGCTCGTTTCAATTTAATTATTGGAAAAATGTGGAAGAAGTATATAAAAAATATTTTAAAAATTATAATTAAAATCCAAACATAAATGTGAAAAATGTAAAATAAGGTTACTGATGGAGGTAAAACTGGCGCTTTAGGTACTAGGCCAACTATCAAAAATGGGTTAATTGAGTATGGTGCGTATATTGTGAATTCGATTCTAAAAAAAAATTCGGTGAAACTTATGTCCACTTTTTTGCTGGATATGTATTTTCTAATGTCAGTGTAGGTCATTTTTGCATTTCCTTGAGGAATTACTAACTCTATGTCGGCATTGAAAAATTTCAAAAATGGATTCATCAAGTTGCAAACTCTTCCTGCTATGCATTTTCCATTTTCATAAATAGCGTTCGCTTTTGAGGAACGATCCATTGGGGTTCGGATTTTGTATCCTTTCATGTCTATAATTTTGTTAGTATTTTGAGGAATTTTTGAGAGCTTTTTGTTGAAAACATTGTAATAGATTTTCTGTAAATTTTTAGATTCGTTTACAAATACTAAAACAAAGTTTAAAATCCTATGATTTTCCCATAAGAAGTCTAGTTCTTTAGCTGAGTTGTTCATATTCTTAGTTTTTAATAGCAAAACATGATATTTTGGATCGCTATACCAGACAGTGGATTGATTCAGAAATAAATTTGCTAAATTAAGAATTTCTTTTAAATTTCTCACCAATAAAATTGTGTGTTCATATATTGTATTATCTTTTGTAAAATAAATTATTGGTGCATTCAATACTTGTATTGCCATTTTTTCGGTTATTTGCCAATTGTTTATTATGTCTTTTGCTTGAGAGATGTTCGAATGTACCACGGCAATGCAATTTTTGACATTCACCGAAGTAAAATCTTGTTGCTTTAGATATTCTTCAAATTTAATATTTTCTTGTTCAACTATTGGTAAATATTGTATCTTCAGTTCTAGACATGGAAGAAAAACTAGAACCAGTAACACCGTATGCAACATTTTTTGGATGACCGAGAATATATGAAAATGTGTTATGACTTGAATATGCAGCTGTTATTGATGCGCTTATAATAGTATGAAAATGTCATATAATATATGATTTATCTGAAATTAAATAGATATTATGCACCTAAGTATATTATATTATTTAAAGTACCTATCTAATAATACTAATGCATATTGAGATTTTTAAAACATTGGATCGATAATCTATATTGGAAATACGTATTGTGACGGTATGATAACTTTTTTTTTCTTATAAAGGCATAATGGTTGCTTTTTATTGTATTATACTCTGAAGAACAGAAATAACATTTTCGAAGATTTAAAACATTATGTATAAGCTAGGCATTAGAAATTTTTCGGGAGTCTCAGATTGTGGTTGTTTTCTCTTATCTTTTTCCCATCTATATAAGAAAACAACTATATAATATGATCTCTTCCGTGCGATGAAAACAAAAAACAGCAACTTATATTTTGAAACGTTATTTTCTAGCCCAAACAACTTGCTTGTTCACTATGATTTCATCAATATTTCTTATTCCAAATTATTTCGCACCAGAACACCAACATACTGAAACAAAGGCCGCAAATCAACAATAAAAATGCTGCATAAAGATGATTCAAATTCAACGTGGTACCAGCAGCAGCCTCATTTTCATATCGATACTTTTGTTTTGCAAATGATAAAAACAAACCAAAATCGTTCATCAGAAATAAAAATGTATTAAAGTATTTCTTGAAAGGTGAATTTCTGGCCAACAGATTCTAAGTAATTCTACCAGCACCGAAACCATCTTTCGTTAAATGGTAATATTTTGATTTGCTTTATTTGGTTTTACTTAATGATAGTAAATTTTCTTCCTACCAGTCAGTGACTAAATAGCATACTTGAGTTTCCTTTAAGTTCGAAATGAGAAATGCGATAACTTCAAAATTAAATTGAGTTATTTCTAATTTCTTAGCTATAAACTCTTGGCAATCATCTGGTACACATACTTTCAATCCGCTAGCAGCCAATTGGCCTACTGTGTTAACATCTTTGAAAAATGTAGGTATAGTCAAAGCTGTAATAACAGCACCTTGAAAAGTATTTTGGAATCTATTCGAGTAAACGTAGCTGCTTAATAATAAGAGTTTGAGTGCTCGTTTCAATTCCATTATTGAAAAAATTTGAAAGAAGTATAAAAAAAATAATTTAAAAATTATAATTAAAATCCAAACATAAATGTGAAAAATGTAAAATAAGCTTATTGATGGAGGCAAAACTGGCGCTTTAGGTACTAGGCCAATTATCAAAAATGGGTTAATTGAGTATGGTGCGTATATTGTGAATTCGATTTTTAAAAAAAAAATCGTTAAAACCTATGTCCACTTTTTTACTGGATATGTATTTTCTAATGTCAGTGTAGGTCATTGCATTTCCTTGAGGAATTACTAACTTTATGTCGGCATTGAAAAGTTTCAAAAATTCAGATTTTCGTCCTCTCGATTCAACTCAGGATACCGGCACTTAACATTCCACATTCCACAACCTATCCTCATTTTCCCTCTATCCAGAAAACTTAAGAGGATTGGATTTGATCTTTCTCACCATACTCGACAACAGAAGAAGGTTTATCAATCACAACGAGGTCCAATTTAGGTACAACTCTAGAGAGCATATCGGGAACGATGTGCTCTTTGCCTTTCCGGTGAAATCGTATTGTTGGAGTTGGACTTGCCATCTTGGCAAATGACCTGTAGGCTGTTGCATATTCTGCAACGACACTAGTGAGTAGTGATCCGTGATCACTGAAAATTTGACAAGGTCGAAATAAGGACGAAACTTTTGAAGGGACCACACAACGGCGAGACATTCTCTCTCTTTCGCTGAGAAATTCTGTTCCTGTTCTGTCAGACTTCGACTTATGTAACTAATTACACGCTCCGTACCATCAGCATGAGGTTGAACCAAAACCTAATACCATATCCAGAACAATCACACTGAACAACAAAATCCAAGGAATAATCTGGCGCCGGCGCCGCCAACACAGGCACACTAATCAAACACTCTTTAATACGACTCCTAAAAGCAGAGTCACAGTCTGGAGTCCAGTCAAACTTACGATTCTTCCTTAATAAACCAGTAATGGGAGCTATAACAGTCGAGAAATCTTTTATGAATCTACGGTACCACGAAAAAGTGCCTACAATCCCCCTAACCTTAGTAACACTAGTGGGAACAGGAACGTCCAACATGGCCCTGACCTTATCGGGGTCAACATGTAATCCTTGACTATCGACTTCATAACCAAGGTACTTTAGACTTGGTTTACAAAACTGACACTTCGCTCGACCCACAGTGAGATTAGCCTGACGCAGCCTACGAAATACCTCTTCCAGGACCTTCAAGTGCGTCTCAAAATCGGGCGTAACCACCACTATATCATCTAGATACACGGAAACATATGGCTCAAGATCAACTCCAAGGACATTATTAATGAGTCTTCGCCAAGTATCAGGGGCATTATGTAACCCAAATGGAAGTCTCTTAAATTGAAACAGTCCACGATTCGGGATTGTAAAAGCGGTGTAGGGACGAGAAGACTCTGCGACTGGTACCTGCCAATACGCCGACTTTATGTCCATAGTGGAACGAAACTTGAGGAAGCGTATAACTGTCCCGTTCACACACAGCATTAATCTTTCTGTAGTCCACACAAAGGCGAAACGAACCATCCTTCTTTTTAACCATAACAACTGCTTATGCCCATGGGCTTTTCGACGGCTCCACAACCCCAAGCTTTATCATCTCATCCAATTCCCTATCGATGTGTTGCTGCATTATAGGAGAAACTCGATACCAACGTTGCTTAATAGGCCTGGCAGTAATCAATAACGTGTTCCACCTGATCCGTGCAACCCAATTTATCGCCCATAAGCCTAAAACGGTCGTCCAACAATGCATTGAATCTACCCTCCTGGTCGTCCGTTAGAATGGTTCAGCTACTTCTAAAGAAGCAATTTCAAGCAGGTTCGAAAAACACCACTCACCACACCGTAGATCTGGCACAACAACCATAGCCTTCCAGAAAACCCCTGTAGTGGTGGGGTCAATATATGGGGAAAGACCCTATATCTAAATGATAATGTACAGGGTGGGCCAATTTGGACACTTTTAATAGGAACCGTCAATTTCTGAGCGAGATACAAAAAAATGATTCCTCCACTCTGCGGCTCAAATTTCATGAAATTTTGATTGGTGCAAACCGCATTTTGATATCTTCAACCGTTTAGTCGCTAGAGGGCGATTCTCGATTTTGAGCAATAATGTGAAACCTGCATAACTTTTTTCTTTATGAAAATAATTGATTTCCGTAGAAACTTTCTAGAAGCACTTTTTAAACCAGAATTCAGTGACGTTCTCAATGTTTTTCTAGTTGGCCCCAACTTCGAAATATTGACCAGAGTCCGGTTTTTTTCAATGGGACACTCTATAAGTATATTATTAGCTCATTGGAAAGATCTGTTTTTACTGATTTCAATGATATAAATAGGTTTATCTCGAACAGTTTTCGAGAAAAAAAATTATATCGGTTTTTGTCAAAAGAAACAATGTGTTAGAAAGAGACCTTCTTCATTTTCCTTACAGATATAAAGTCCTTTTCTAACACATTGCTTCTTATGACAAAAAACGATTTTTTTTTTCTCGAAAACCTATCGAACTTCTTATCATTAAAATCAGCAAAATCATAGCTTTTCAATGAGCTATTAAAATAAAGGGTGTCCTATTAGGAAAAATCAGACATTGGTAAATATCTCAAAATCGGCGCCAAATAGGAAAAAACTGAGAACGTCACTGAATTTTTCTTAAAAAAGTGCTTCCAGAAAGTTTTCATGGAAATCAATTATTTTCATAAACAAGAAAGTTATGAAAGTTTCATAATATTGCTCAAAATCGAGAATCGCCCTCTAGCGACTAAACGGTTGAAGATATCAAAATGAAATTTGAGCCTCAGAATGGGGGGCTCATTTTTCTGTATCTTGCTCAGCAATTGACGTTTCCTATTAAAAGTATCCAAATTGGCCCACCCTGTACAATATACTGTTGGAAAGCGCGTTTTCTCTTGATTATTATTCACTTATGATATAAGTTATTATCAAAATACAAACTCAAGTTATATAGGGAAATGTAGAATGACGTTCCAGAAATTAGGCGGCAATAATGATTAAGTCATCAACGCCGCTAGAGGGGCAGAAAAATTTGTGTGCTTTTTAGACTCATCTACCCATGTACTATCCGAAAGAACGCATCGGTTGCCAGACGGAAATATTCTGGTATAATTTTCAGCTTCCTCATCCCACTACTCCCATATGTATTGAAAAAAAAAAAAACAGAAAAAAACATGCAAGTCACAATATATATTTTGAAATATTGACTTATATGAATAAAACAGAAGCAAATGATTTTACTTAAGTTTTTTGAGATAAACATATTCAGCTTTAATGCAGCAAAAAGAGTTGCAGGTAGAGTAAAAACATTTGCTATGCTTTATCTATATGACTGACTATTTGTTAACTAAAATAACTAATAATATATTTTGCTTCTTCACTAAGATTTCATCAATATTTCTTATTCCAAATTATTTCGCACCAGAACACCAACATACTGAAGCAAAGGCCGCAAATCAGCAATAAAAATGCTCCATACAAATGTTCCAAATTCAATGTAGTACCAGCAGCTGCCTCATTTTTATATCGATACTCTTGTTCTGCAAATGGTAAAAACATACCAAAATCATTCATTAGAAATAAAAAAGTATTAAAGTATTTCTTGAAGGGTGAATTTCTGGCCAACAGATAAGTAATTCTTCCTGGACCTAAAGCATCTTTCGTCAAATGGTAATATTGTGAATAATATTTTCCTTCCCTGGTTTTGTTTAATAGTAGATTTTTCCCCCAGTAGTCCGATGTTAAATAGCTTGCTTGAGTTTCCTTCAAGGTCCAAATATAATATCCAATGACTTTATAGTTCATATCAGTTATGTTTAATTTCTCAGGCAAATACTCCCGCCAAGCTATTTCTCCATATACTTTCAATCCACTACAAGCCAATTCGTCCACATTGTTAATATCTCTAAAAAATTTAGGAGTGGTCAAAGCTGTGATAACAGCTCCTTGAAAAGTATTTTGAAAGATAATTGTGTAAACGGAGCTGCCTAATAGTATGAATTTGAGAGCACGTTTTAATTGAATCATTTGAAAAACGTAATTGAAATACAAGAACACTATTTTCGATATTATAATTAAAATCCAAACATAAATGTCGAAAATGAAGAATAAGGTTACTAATGGAGGTAATACTGGTGCTTTGGGTACTACTCCAACTAACAAAAATGGTTTTATAGAATATGAAGCGTAAATTCTGTACTCTGTTGTATAAAACCATTCGGAGAAACTTATATCAATTTTTTTGCTTAACAAATCGAGTTTGGTGTTATAATACGACATTCTTTCGTTTCCTTCTGGAATAACTAGCTCTATTCCAGCTTTAAAAAGTTTCAAAAATGGATTCATCAAGTTGCAAACTCTTCCTGCAATGCATTTTCCATTTTCATAAATAGCGTTCACTTTTGAAGAACGATCCATTGGAGTTCGGATTTTGTATCCTTCCATATCTATAATTTTGTTAGTATTTTGAGGAATTTTTGATAGCTTTTTGTTGAAAACATTGTAATAGATTTTCTGTAAATTTTTAGATTTGTTCACAAATATTAGAATAAAGTTTAAAATCCTATGATTTTCCCAAAGTAAGTTTAATTCTCTAGTTAGGTTGATCATATTGTTGGCTTCTAATAGCAAAACATGATATTTGGGATCACTATACCATACAGTGGGTTGATTTAGAAATCTATTTGTTAAGTCATGAATTTCTTGTATATTTTTCACAAATAAAATTGCGTGTTCGTATAAGGTATTATTTTTTGAAAAATGCCTTATTGGTGCATTTAATACTTGTACAGCCAATTTTTCGGTTATTTGCCAATTGTTTATTATATCTTCTGCTTGAGAGATGTTCGAATGTACTATAGCAATGCAATTTTTGTCATTCTCCAAAGTAAAATTTAGTTGCTTCAAATATTCTTCAAATTTAATATTTTCTTGTTCAACGTTTGGCAGATATTGTATCTTCAGTTGTACACATGGTATCAAAACTGTAACTAGTAACACCGTATGTATCAACATTTCTTGGATGACTGAGAATACAAAAATGTCTTATGACTTTCATGCAACTATAATTGATGCGCTTATAATAATAGATATGAAGATGTCATGTAATATGATTTATCTGAAATTAAATAGATATACAACTAAGTAGGTAGGTATATGTATTTTATATTATTTTAAAGTAATAATAATAATGCCTATTGTGATTTTCAAAACATCGCATCGATAATCCATATTATTAGAATTTGGAAGTTTACCGTATTGTCACGTTATCATAAATTTTCTTTTGATGGAGGAAAAAGTGTGTGCTTTTGAATGTTCTGTACTGATTGGATTCTTTTGAATTTATGTCAAAATTCACTACTGAAGAACAGAAATATCATTTTGGAGAATTAAAAATATTATGTTTTACCTGGGCATTGTAAATTTTCCGTGAGTCTATTTTCTCTATCTTTTTTTCATATGTTTAAGTAAACAACGATATACCTATGCCCTCCCTCATGTGTTGAAAAAAGAAAAGCAGAAAAAAAACATGCAAATCACAACATATATTTTGAAACACTATTTCTTAACCAAAACAACTAATAGCATATTTTGCATCTTCACTGAGATTTCATCGATATTTCTTATTCCAAATTATTTCGCACCAGAACACCAACGTACCGAAGCAAAGGCCGCAAATCAACAATAAAAATGCTCCATACAAATGTTCCAAATTCAATGTAGTACCAGAAGCAGCCTCATTTTTATGTCGATAATTTTGTTCTGCAAATGGTAAAAACAAACCAAAATCATTCATTAGGAACAAAAAAGTATTGAAGTATTTTTTGAAAGGTGAATTTCTGGCCAACAGATAAGTAATTCTTCCTGGACCCAAAGCATCTTTTGTCAAATGGTAATATTGTGAATAATATTTTCCTTCCCTGGTTTTGTTCAATAGTAGATTTTTCCCCCAATAGTCCGATGTTAAATAGCTTGCTTGAGTTTCCTTCAAGGTCCAAACATAATATCCAATGACTTTATAATTCATATCAGTTATGTTTAATTCCTCAGGCAGAGACTCTCGCCAAACTATTTCTCCATATACTTTTAATCCACTACGAGCCAATTCATCCACATTGTTAATATCTTTTAAAAATTTAGGAGTGGTCAAGGCTGTTATAACAGCTCCTTGAAAAGTATTTTGAAAGATAATTGTGTAAACGGAGCTGCCTAATAGTATGAATTTGAGAGCACGTTTTAATTGAATCATTTGAAAAACGTAATTGAAATACAAGAATATTATTTTCGATATTATAATCAAAATCCAAACATAAATGTCGAAAATGTAGAATAAGGTTACTAATGGAGGTAAAACTGGCGCTTTAGGTACTACTCCAACTAACAAAAATGGTTTTATAGAATATGAAGCGTAAGTTGTGTACTCTGTTGTATAAAACCATTCGGAGAAACTTATATCAATTTTGTTGCTTAACAAGTCGAGTTTGGTGTAATAATACGACATTCTTTCGTCTCCCGCTGGAATAATTAGCTCTATTCCAGCATTAAAAAGTTTCAAAAATGGATTCATCAAGTTGCAAACTCTTCCTGCTATACATTTTCCATTTTCATAAATAGCGTTCAATTTTGAAGTCCGATCCATTGGAATTCTGATTTTGTATCCTTTCATGTCTATGATTTTGTTAGTATTTTGAGGAATTCTTGATAGCTTTTCGTTGAAAACATTGTAATAGATTTTCTGTAAATTTTTAAATTCGTTTAAAAATATTAAAACAAAGTTTAAAATCCTATTTTTTTCCCAAAAGATGTTCAATTCTCTAGTTAGGTTGTTCATATTGTTAGTTTCTAATAGCAAAATATGATATTTGGGATCACTATACCAAACAGTTGGTTCATTTAGAAATGTATTTGCTAAACCATGAATTTCTTCTATATTTTTCACAAATAAAATTGCGTGATCGTACATTGTATTATCTTTCATGAAATGCCTAATTGGTGCATTCAATACTTGTATTGCCAATTTTTCGGTTATTTGCCAATTGTTGATTATATCTTCTGCTTGAGAGATGTTCGAATGTACCACAGCGATGCAATTTTCGGTATTTTTCAAAGTAAACTTTTGTTGCTTTAAATATTCTTCAAATTTAATATTTTCTTGTTCAATTACTGGTAGATATTGCATTTTCAGTTCTACATATTTTGTTAGAATTAATACTAGTAGCACAGTATGCAACATTTTTTGGACAACTAAATATTTCGATAATGTTTCATGATCTTATCATGTATTGATAGATACGGTTATAATGGTATAAAAATGTCATTTATCAGGTGTATGATTTATCTGAAGTAAAATACGTTAATATTGTCGTTTGAAGCAATAATAATGCTTATCATAAATGTCAAATCATCACATCCATAATTTATGTTGGGAATACCCTTTTTTTGATTATATCATATTATATTTACAATATCAAATATGTGCAATAAAGAATGAAACTTTGAGTTTCTCTTTTTACCAAATATTAATATTATCACCGGGAAGTAATAAATATTGCAAATATTTTCCCATAAAGACCCCAGAGTCAGACATTATATATTTAAAAGTATTATTCTTGAAAATATGCACATAAAAAGCTCGTATAACCGTTCGTATCTAGGTACCAAATGAATTTGCCATAGACCACCGCTTAGAAGACACCCCACGGTTACGGTTTCAAACATTTAATCCGCAATTTAACTTTGCGAGAATGTCATCTATATTTTCTTATATGTCCAATAAAACCAGAAACTGCTTATGATATATAAAAAAGGTTTATTGTGGAAATAATTCAATAATTTACAAGCTATGAATAGAAGATACTTACCTACTCAGGAGATAGGTATGCAGTGAGGATGAGGGAAGTTAAATCCTAACAGTAAGAAAAACCTAATTAAGTTTGCAATACAAAATAGTATGGTAAATACCGTTTTTCAGTCACGTCACTTTCGTTGTGTTTTTTAAAAATTATTTATTTTACAATTATGGCTAATTACTTATATCCAATAAAATAAAATGCAGCATGCATGCAAATACGAACTAGAAGAAAAAGTTTAGGTAATCTTCATTTTAATGAAAATATTCTTCTTATCAATATAATTCCATAAACTTACGCACTATACAGCAAAAGCTTCACAAAACGAATAATGCAAGAGTTCAAAGCTAATATGATAATATTTACAATACAGTTTAAATGTATGCCTCATAATAAAATAATTGATCACAGTGATCACAAACTAAAATTTTGTTTGCTAAGTATCCAAAGTAATTGAATTAGAAATTAATCGAAAATAAACCAACATATCGATCACTTGAATGATCGATATGCATTTCATTGCCGTTTACAATATAAATCATTTGCATTCGTAACGTCTGAAATGCATTTTTGCTTCTCTCATTTCACAAACGACTTCTGGGTAATATCCAATTATGAATTCAATACATCATGCCAGGATGCAGACCGTTTCCTCTTTGGAAGTACACATTCGGGTTGCTGCTCAGGGTCGGCTCTAGGGTCGTGTACAAGTTGCCGTCATCTGGTCTCAGATACAATCCACCTGAAAAAAAAAAAAAAAAATACTTTTAGTTTTATATATAGCGCTAATGACAATAGCAAAATACAAAAAAAAAGAGCCTTGAGAGGTTCAAAGACAGATATTTGTTACTGGAAAATACTGAGATGAATTTTCGCTTTTTTCAATTAAAACGATTGCTCTCTAAAATGACGAATTCTAGAGACATCGATTACCAACTATATTTAGTAAGAATGAGAGTCCCAGAACCCAAAGTCAATCAGCTGATCGGCTAAAAGAAGAAGAACCAGCTAATGTCAGTTTTCCTCGTGGTGATGCAGAACCCAAATATCTTCCCAACAAACCAATAGCAATATTAGTGAAAAGAGGATTAGAACAAAATTTTCTGCTCAGGAAGTTTGGCGTGTACATGACTTACAAAATCCAAAGGTCAATATACTGGGGACTAATGGCCGTTTACACTGACCATTTTAAGGGAAATTAAACGATAATTCACGCTTAAAGTGACATTTTTACATGTAAAAATGTCACCTTAAGCGTGGATTATTGTTAAACTCTTAAACTTAAAATGGTCGGAGCAAACGGCCATAAACCGCCTATTATGGTAAATCAGTAAAAGATGAATTAAAAAAAGCAACATGCATCAAAAAATCCGTAGTCGAAATACATATTCACTGAAGATAATCACAAAGTTGTCTTGAGTGGTGGTCTAATAATCGCTATAGCACAGGAAATGTGACATGTAACTTTAGATTCGTTGGTTGGGATGCGGAGTGAACAGGCTGAGTTGGGTGGCCCCAACACTACAGCAGACTAGACTTTGCTGCAGCCGTCGGCTTATTTTATTCTCCTGTTCGTCTGTTTAGTTAGTCAAAAGTTTTGTGACCTTGATTAGATTTAGGAGACTGTTCACAGTGTGGGTTTTGGTGGGTTTAGAGATAGGATCTTCTGGCCCTATCTGTCTGTAACTCTGTTTTGGTTCGGTTCTGGGATTGCGCAGAACTGCTTGTGCACAAAAAATATTGGAGGACTATTCTATTACTAGTTCTCAACCGATTCTGAACCAAAACAAGCAAAACAAGCCGCAAATCACAAAATACCAAAACACTTCCTCCTTCAGAGCAAGAACTGAGAGAATCGTGCTAGATCAGTTCCAGAATTGTTCTTATATGGTTCTAAATAATCCAAAACGCTGTCAAAACAGTTCGATTACGATTCGGAAAAAACAAAAACGCGTTTTTTAACATGCGCATGTGCAGAATAATTCCGAACTAGTTCTGAGTGAAACCATAACAAAGCTCGTATCTCCACCAGCATACTGGCTCACATTCGAAGACTATATGGGTGGCGGTTTTATCCTCCTTCACAAAGTCTGCATATGGGTTCTTCTTGGAAAATGCCCATTGTGTGAAGATCTCTTCAGTATTTTAGGTGATGGTTGTTGTACCATTAGCTTACTGTGCCTGAGCTTCGGAAGAGTTTGCCAGTGAGTTTGGTGTAGTCTTCACACCCAACCGGTGTGAAGTTGGTGGCAAAAGATAGTAGCCAAATTTTCCGAAGATACCCGAACGCCCAGTGGCGTCGGGTCATATTTTAATCGACAGAAATTGTATTTTACCTCACTTAACTTAGTTATATAAAATTCTACTACAGTTACATATCAGCGAAAAACAACCCATATTCTTAGGGAAATTATATCAAGGGGTATAGGAGAGGGATTTTTTTTAATGTTATTTTGTTTTTTGAAATATCTCGAAATCTGCTCGTTTCTACAGATTTATATTTGAACCACAGTTAACTTAGGTACTAATTCAATTTTAAAAAAATATTTCATCCCCAGCAACCCGGGACAAGGGGTGCAACTGGAGGTTGGAAGCATATTTTTTGAATTATTTTGAAATATCTCGAAATCTGCTCGTTTCTACAGATTTATATTTGAACCACAATTAACTTAGGTACTAATTCAATTTTAAAAAAATATTTCATCCCCAGCAACCCGGGACAAGGGGTGCTACTGAGGGTTGGAAGCATATTTTTTGAAATATCTCAAAATCTGCTCGTTTCTACAGATTTATATTTGAACCACAGTTAACTTAGGTACTAATTCAATTTTAAAAAAATATTTCATCCCCAGCAACCCGGGACAAGGGGTGCAACTGGAGGTTGGAAGCATATTTTTTGAATTATTTTGAAATATCTCGAAATCTGCTCGTTTCTACAGATTTATATTTGAACCACAGTTAACTTAGGTACTAATTCAATTTTAAAAAAATATTTCATTCCCAGCAACCCGGGACAAGGGGTGCTACTGAGGGTTGGAAGCATATTTTTTGAAATATCTCAAAATCTGCTCGTTTCTACAGATTTATATTTGAACCACAGTTAACTTAGGTACTAATTCAATTTTAAAAAAATATTTCATCCCCAGCAACCCGGGACAAGGGGTGCTACTGAGGGTTGGAAGCATATTTTTTGAATTATTTTGAAATATCTCGAAATCTGCTCGTTTCTACAGATTTATATTTGAACCACAGTTAACTTAGGTACTAATTCAATTTTAAAAAAATATTTCATCCCCAGCAACCCGGGACAAGGGGTGCAACTGGAGGTTGGAAGCATATTTTTTGAATTATTTTGAAATATCTCGAAATCTGCTCGTTTCTACAGATTTATATTTGAACCACAGTTAACTTAGGTACTAATTCAATTTTAAAAAAATATTTCATCCCCAGCAACCCGGAACAAGGGGTGCAACTGGAGGTTGGAAGCATATTTTTTGAATTATTTTGAAATACTTCAAAATCTGCTGGTTTCTACAGATTTATATTTGAACCACGGTTAACTTAGGTACTAATTCAATTTTAAAAAAATATTTCATCCCCAGCAACCCGGGGCAAGGGGTGCAACTGGAGGTTGGAAGCATATTTTTTGAATTATTTTGAAATATCTCGAAATCTGCTCGTTTCTACAGATTTATATTTGAACCACAGTTAACTTAGGTACTAATTCAATTTTAAAAAAATATTTCATTCCCAGCAACCCGGGACAAGGGGTGCTACTGAGGGTTGGAAGCATATTTTTTGAAATATCTCAAAATCTGCTCGTTTCTACAGATTTATATTTGAACCACAGTTAACTTAGGTACTAATTCAATTTTAAAAAAATATTTCATCCCCAGCAACCCGGGACAAGGGGTGCAACTGGAGGTTGGAAGCATATTTTTTGAATTATTTTGAAATATCTCGAAATCTGCTCGTTTCTACAGATTTATATTTGAACCACAGTTAACTTAGGTACTAATTCAATTTTAAAAAAATATTTCATCCCCAGCAACCCGGGACAAGGGGTGCAACTGGAGGTTGGAAGCATATTTTTTGAATTATTTTGAAATATCTCGAAATCTGCTCGTTTCTACAGATTTATATTTGAACCACAGTTAACTTAGGTACTAATTCAATTTTAAAAAAATATTTCATTCCCAGCAACCCGGGACAAGGGGTGCTACTGAGGGTTGGAAGCATATTTTTTGAAATATCTCAAAATCTGCTCGTTTCTACAGATTTATATTTGAACCACAGTTAACTTAGGTACTAATTCAATTTTAAAAAAATATTTCATCCCCAGCAACCCGGGACAAGGGGTGCTACTGAGGGTTGGAAGCATATTTTTTGAATTATTTTGAAATATCTCGAAATCTGCTCGTTTCTACAGATTTATATTTGAACCACAGTTAACTTAGGTACTAATTCAATTTTAAAAAAATATTTCATCCCCAGCAACCCGGGACAAGGGGTGCAACTGGAGGTTGGAAGCATATTTTTTGAATTATTTTGAAATATCTCGAAATCTGCTCGTTTCTACAGATTTATATTTGAACCACAGTTAACTTAGGTACTAATTCAATTTTAAAAAAATATTTCATCCCCAGCAACCCGGAACAAGGGGTGCAACTGGAGGTTGGAAGCATATTTTTTGAATTATTTTGAAATACTTCAAAATCTGCTGGTTTCTACAGATTTATATTTGAACCACAGTTAACTTAGGTACTAATTCAATTTTAAAAAAATATTTCATCCCCAGCAACCCGGGGCAAGGGGTGCAACTGGAGGTTGGAAGCATATTTTTTGAATTATTTTGAAATATCTCGAAATCTGCTCGTTTCTACAGATTTATATTTGAACCACAGTTAACTTAGGTACTAATTCAATTTTAAAAAAATATTTCATTCCCAGCAACCCGGGACAAGGGGTGCTACTGAGGGTTGGAAGCATATTTTTTGAAATATCTCAAAATCTGCTCGTTTCTACAGATTTATATTTGAACCACAGTTAACTTAGGTACTAATTCAATTTTAAAAAAATATTTCATCCCCAGCAACCCGGGGCAAGGGGTGCAACTGGAGGTTGGAAGCATATTTTTTGAATTATTTTGAAATATCTCGAAATCTGCTCGTTTCTACAGATTTATATTTGAACCACAGTTAACTTAGGTACTAATTCAATTTTAAAAAAATATTTCATCCCCAGCAACCCGGGGCAAGGGGTGCAACTGGAGGTTGGAAGCATATTTTTTGAATTATTTTGAAATATCTCGAAATCTGCTCGTTTCTACAGATTTATATTTGAACCACAGTTAACTTAGGTACTTATTCAATTTTAAAAAAATATTTCATCCCCAGCAACCCGGGGCAAGGGGTGTAACTGGAAGTTGGAAGCATATTTTTTGAATTATTTTGAAATATCTCGAAATCTGCTCGTTTCTACAGATTTATATTTGAACCACGGTTAATTTAGGTGAAGTTATTATAAAGGAAAGAGCAGAAATAATATATTGCTTCAGAAAATATTGTTAACATTTTGTGTTTCTTTGAGTTAAAGAATGTCACTTCTTTAAATACGTTCAATTTAGAAGGTAAATGACGATTGACGAAATCGCGGTGAATTCAGCCTAGCACAGGACACAATTATTGGAAAATTAGAATAATTCAATTAGGTACCTACCTTCAAATTGGAAAAAATAAATCT